CAAAATTTAAAAAAAAAATAATAAAAAATGCTGAATTTTAATTAAAATGTAAAATAAAACAATGAATTGCAGCAGCCAATCATTAGTAACATTCTTACAAAGTTATATAAAAATTGTTTTAATGCTTCTTGAGATATAACTGAAATAGCTTAAAATTCACACATTATAATGCAGATGAGCTCATTAATATACATGGATGTCAACCAAAAACTAATCAAATCTGCGCATTGCCCCAGACAAGCTATATACCAAGTTTCATTGAAATCCAAACATTGGTTCTTGAGATATCGATGGAACAGACACACACACACACAGACACACACACACACACACACACACACACAGACAGACACACTATACTGCAAAGACTCCCTTTTTGTGCTTCGCACACAGGAGTAAAAAATGACGTGCATCAAGGTCCTATTATGTTTAATGTAAGTACCAAATTTGAACAAAATCGTCCATGCATAACTGAGATCCGGGTCCAGAATGGTGAAAATGTGCGATTTTGATGCATTTTCGGCCTTAAAATGGCCGCTATTCAGCTATTGTTAATCGGATCATGAAAAAAATACATGTGCATATGTCCCATATAATGTGTGATGTACGAGTGAAGATTGAACTTAACCGGTCCATGCATGTTCGAGATACAGGTGCTCACGGACGCAAGGACGCACACAGGGCAAAATATAAGTCCCCGTTTTCGGACTACGTCCGAACGAAACTAATAAGGTCTGTCATGGGAAATAACATTGACTTCCATAGTATTCCAGAATACTTACCAGATATTTTCTTTCATACATAAGACCTTTGACCTCGGTCACATATGTACAACAGTTTATGCTTGGCATGACATCTTGGAGATAGAAGTCTCCCATGCCATCAGGTAGTTTCTCTGATAAACAATTGGGCTGCAATAAATTACATGGAGACTGAGTTTTTATTGCAGTCAACATACTTCATATATAATTCTGTGAATCAATACTCCCAACATAAACCCTAATTTCAATTAAAAACTACAAGTTTTGGGGTATAAAGTCAATCATTGCAATTATTATATTTAACTGAAGTGTTTCTGATAATAACATGACTATATCATAAACAGACTGTTTAATGGTAAAATGAGACATGTACTATATTTCATACTTGATGCTTGTCAAATTGAAAAATGTTAATCAACATGATGGATTTCAAACATACACATAATATATAGTCAAACTTTACTCTGGAGAGAATGGTTACCATGATGACATACCGTTGTATCCATAGAATTTTCAATAACCTGGCCAAATACTTCTGGCTTGTCTTCTGGGGTCAATGACTTCTCATCACACTCTAATTTATCTTGTTTCATAATCTAGAAATGACAAAGATGATATACTTTACATGCATATTATTAGCTCTTGTTGGATACAGTCAAATATGATTAAAAACCCAAGCAATCACAGTAATGCCAGTAACAACAAAAGATATTTAGACTCTATGTAAAAATAAACAAAAACGTCCCAGGGCATGTAAATACCACCATACTTCATACATGTGGTGCCCAACCCAAGGCCAGAATTGACCGTAACTCTATAGAATAGTTTACTGTACAAGTACAATGGTTGTGTGTGCATCTTTCACATTCAGTGACACACATTGTTTACATTTTTTACAATGTTTCAAATATATTCAATTTAAAATGAATATTGTTAATAAAATTATTATTATAAATATTTGGTGTGACCAATAAAAAAATCCTAGCAATTTTTCTTGTGTTTTTTCTCTATATTTGCATTTTTTCAATTAAATATTGAAGCAGTGAAATTATTTCATTGTTTTATGATCTGTCATTTCAATGTCATATTAGAAATAAAAGCCTGCACGAATAAGCATACAACAAATTTAATTCAAAGCTGTGTATCACTTCATTTTCCTTGTATTACTTGGCATTTCACATATATATACCGTAGTGTCATTTTATACATTGTATTCCTAGTTGTTAAGTCTATTGAACAGCTTGCACTATTTCTAGTTATGTTGGGCTTAAAATGCCAAGAAGAGCTTGTTATATACTATTATTAATATACAAGTACTAAATGACTTACTATATGGTCTATATCAACAATGTCTTCTTTTATTAGTAATGCCCTAGTATGATGTCCTGTGGGTAGCAAATCTGGTGGAGGCGGATGTGAAGTCTGTATGTAACAAAAATATATAGCATACTCAGTTACTCTTGGCTTTTTTAACAGGAACAATCATAGCCAACAAGTGTTATGAACCTATTAGATACCTTCCCAAATGTACTACTGTACGTTTAAAGTTTACAATGAACAGTGAACTGAGCCATTCAGACTAAGCACTATACCATGACAGGTTCTATCAGTATGTGATCCTTACCATGTGATATGATTTTCTGTATAATGTTTCCAGACCTTTAAGCTTATATGGTAAGTCTAATTCCTTATATGGCAATTCTACTTCCTTATATGGTGATTCTCTTCTATTTTTTGTTAATTCCAAACCTTGGATATGAGAATCTACATCTTTACAATGTGATGGATTCTTTTGATTGTTTTTTGTGCAGTACACATATTCATCATCACTGTGACCATGGTGATGTTGGTCAGTAGTCTCTATAATAAATGAACAGTAAAATTAACTTTGACATATCAATTTGATTGAGATACAGTGAACTTCATTTAGGCATGCCAATTTTGCAACATTTAGAGGACTTAATTTGTAAATTTCAAATATGTCTTCAAAAATAACTTGACCAATCATCATGCCTTTACAAATAACTTCACCAATCATGATGCCTTTAAAAATAACTTGACCAATCATGTTGCCTTTAAAAATAACTTGACCAATCATGATGCCTTATGAAGAAAGGTCACCATGTCAGGTTGACTCAGAGAATCCTTACCTGAAGGATATGTATTGGTATTGTCAGTTATTTCATCAAGTCTTCTGTGAATAGTCACCATGTCAGGTCGTCTCAGAGGATCATTGTCCATACAAGTCATTAATAATTCAAACAAGCTGTGATTCATGCATGGATGTCTTTTGAATCGTAATCTGTGATTCACAATCTAGAAATATAATACATATCCATTCACCAATGACACATAAATATTACTGTGCATGACAATGACTACAAACATTGTATTAAGAAATTGCATTGCATAGAAACCTTAATACAGTATTGCATACACACCTTTATACAATATTGCATACACACCTTAATACAATATTGCATACACACCTTAATACAATATTGCACACACACCTTAATACAATATTGCATACACACCTTAATACAATATTGCATACACACCTTAATACAATATTGCATACACACCTTAATACAATATTGCATACACACCTTAATACAATATTGCATACACACCTTAATACAATATTGCATACACACCTTAATACAATATTGCATACACACCTTAATACAATATTGCATACACACCTTAATACAGTATTGCATACAACACCTTAATACAGCATTGCATATAAACCTTAATACAGCATTGCATATAAACCTTAATACAGCATTGCATATAACATCCTTAATAATAGCATTACATATAAA